TTTGGACTCTTAGCAAAATTTTCTAACCTAAATCCAAAGAGGTGTGCTTGTATTTATAGAAAAACAGCTTCTCATAGCGGAAACATCTATATAGAGACAGTTGTGCAAGGCATGCACATGGGAAAGGGGGACAGCTGGCTGTAAATATCTACCTGTCGGGACACTTGGACGGCCGGCCAATGACTTGTATGGCCGGCCACAAAAAGTGGCATGCCAGTCCAAAAAAACTGCTTTTAAGCCTGACTTCAAATGGGTACATTTCCCTCATTCGGAGTCAGTTTTAGGTGATTCTTGAGTCTAAATTGAAGCCCTAAAAGTCTACTTTCCACTGGTGTGGCCTCACATCTAAACTCTAAGTGTAAAAAGAGATATGCCTAATTTAGTGAAGGCTGCTCATTTCTTTCTTAACGGTTTGATGCTCTACCTTTTCTCCAACTAGTTTTCTTCCATCCCCTCCTATTTCCTTCAACTCCAAACTTATAAATAAGATGTTTTTAAATATTTTTCAAAGAGTTCACCTCCCTTCCATTTATTTCCACTCTGTCTTTATTCGGTTTACTGAAATGTGTAATATTTTAATCAAAATGCAAGCCTCAGAATATCATAGAAATATTTGGAAAAATATTTTTAAAAAAAAGATTTTAGGGTCTAAAATTTTTTTCGTCAAAATGAGGTGTAAGGTTGGGATTAAAAGCTAAAAATTGAATTCTTTTGCTGAAGATTCGAATAATTGCACAGCGTAACATTTCATCATTGAGTGTTCTGAGGTGCCCAAGTCTTATGGGCAGTGAAAAAAGGGGTGTCTATAGCGTGAAATTATCTGAATAAATAATGATAGGTAGTTTTGACATTTTTCTTGAACTTGTCCTTTTATACAAAGTGTTTGAGCGCCCAAACCTTTGGTGAAGAACAATTCAAATTTGAATTTATCAATCGAGTACCCTTTTTTAATGACAATTATAATCTCAATTAAAAAAGGTTGGGATTAAAAGCTAAAAATTGAATTCTTTTGCTGAAGATTCGAATAATTGCATAGCGTAACATTTCATCATTGAGTGTTCTGAGGTGCCCAAGTCTTATGGGCAGTGAAAAAAGGGGTGTCTATAGCGTGAAATTATCTGAATAAATAATGATAGGTAGTTTTGACATTTTTCTTGAACTTGTCCTTTTAGACAAAGTGTTTGAGCGCCCAAACCTTTGGTGAAGAACAATTCAAATTTGAATTTATCAATCGAGTGCCCTTTTTTAATGACAATTATAATCTCAATTAAAATTACTATAGTAGATACAAATCAAAATGAAATACCCACCCTCACAAAACAACTCTTAGAATTGAACACCCAATCCTAATAATACCACATTGAACACCCACCTTTGAAAACACAATGCACATGGTCTATCATTCATAGAACAATAAGGCAGAACGAAACTAGTGGAAAAGATTAAGAAAATGGGGGTAATGAAGCCTGATCAAGATAGCGCGGAGGAGGCTTGAAGTGTATTGATAATTTTTTTTAATCAGAAAGTTCAATTATAATTGACAAAAAAGTAAAACTTAGCAAAAAAATAGTTAACATATTTTTATATATTTCCTCATTGGCTTAGAATCCCAAATACTAACTTTCATTCCTCTGAGAAAATTCCATGAAACCAATCGGTTAGACTGTGCTTGGTTGGGGGATTTGAAAAAGAATAGAAAAAAGGTATGTAAACACTAATGGCATTGTAACACGTGTTAGGTCCCTACTTGTTGCCAATTCCATGAACAAGCTTGGTTTAATCGAGTTATATTTTTCCTTGTTTTTTGGTCTTCTCGCTCGAGCGGGGAAAGCTACGCTCGGCAGAGTTTTCATACTCTCAGTAGTTTTGTTTGTCTATAAAAATACTAAGAGGTGAGCTTTTACGCTCGAGCGTAAGTTCTAACGCTCGAGTGTGGACCCTAGTTTGGAACACGCATTTTAGTGGCACTGCTCAAGTGGCCATTCCTACACTCGAGCGAAGATCACGAATCCAACTGCTATAAATTTGCAGTTTGCTTCAGTTCTAAGGTACGACTTCTAGATTCGCCTTTTTGGCTTTAGGGTTTTCTTCTGGAGGTTTTTTGCTAGTTTTTCCTTTGATTTCTATGGGTGCTTATTCATGAATCAAGAGAGTTAAATCATAGGGTTGCCAATTTGATTTGATCAACACAAAGTGTTCTTCTTTGGTGCAATCCGGAGATTCAAGCGTGGAGTATTCAAAGGAGTTTGAAGATGTGCGTAGTCGTTGACTCGACATGGATGTTGTGGATTCAACATCAAGATGATCAATTCCGAGACGAAGGTGGTGGTGAAAGAGATACAGATTGTTGAAGACAAATTGATTGGTTTTGAGTAATTTGTTTTGGTAAATTTGTACTCTTTCTTTCTTTCATAGTGGATTGATTAGTGACGTTTCGCCCGAGGTTTTTTTATCACAATTGAAGGTGCTCCAATTGTGATTTTTCCATATAAAATCGATTGTGTCGATTTATTATTGTTGAAACAACAATCTAAATCATTTTCATACGTGTTAGTTCATTTAGATTGTTAGTTTTAATCATTTGGAAATTGTTGCAATTAATTCTGGTCCAAATCACGAATCACTTAGGTTTTTCAACTTGTACTTATTGGACTAGTGGGTTTGCTTTTGACACTCTATTTATTGTATTTGGAGTCTCTTTGATTCATTTTGGAATATTGTTTGAGGGAGTATCATGATGGTAAAGTAAGATTAGACCAAAAACATTGATTTAGATAATTGTCCACTGAGTAGTCTTCACTCTTTTGCCCTTTTCTCTTTCCATACTTTGAATTTTGATGTGAGACTAGAACCATTGGAAATTGTGTTTTTGGGGCTTTAATTTGGACACAAGAACGACCTAAAACGGTGTTCGGACAAGAGAGTTATGCTCGTTTGAAATTTGAATATCTGTGTTGGAAGCAAGTTCGCTCGAGCGAAGGAAGTTGCGCTCGAGTGAGCTGCGTGAATTTCAGAGATTCTAGGAGCTTCTTTTCACCGCTATAGCCAGGCTTTGTTTGCTCGAGCAATCAGGTCGATATCAGGCACTATAAAGTGAGTTTTTGGCCCAAATTCTTCATTCTTTCTTCCTCTCTTCTCCCCCTCTACTCCATACCCGAAACCCTAACCCTCAAAACCTTGATTTCATCCATTTTTCACCAACAATCCACCATAGATCATGTATTTAAGATGAAGAACAAGTGAAGATCAACATTTTTAACTGATTGGATTATGGATTTTTTTGAAGAGATCTCTTTGATCGAGCTTCTCTACTCTCATCTTGGAGGTATGATTACTTTTAACTTGGTATCTCTTTACTTTGAGGATGTTTATTGGTATTATTGTGACATTGATTTTGTGATGGATGTTTGAGTTTACAAAGAAGTGGGTTTTGATTTCAAAAATGGAATTCCTTATATATTTTCTCAAAATCTATATTAATGTTTGTAGATTATGAAAACTTTAGTTGAAAAGTAACATTTTACATCATGGAATGGCAAAAGCCCCAAATTTGATAAAAATCCTAGTTTGTGAAATTGAACAATGATATGCTCAAATGGAATTAACCTTCAATTCTTTAAATTTATGATTAAAAATGAGAATGAGATGTCTTTTGACTTGAGATTCATGAAATTGAAAGATTTTGAGATTTTCTTCGGAAGTATGAAGGTTATGTTTTCAAAATAGTTCAATTATTTGAATGGTAATGTTTATCTTTGTTTTCATGGATGTATGAATTCTTGGAATTTGTGAAAATCTTGGAAAGATTGTTTAAGGGGGTCATAAATAGCATGGGAGTCTGGGCAAGGAGTCCATTTTTTTGTTTTTTTTTTTAAACACTACTAGAAAAAGGGGTATAAGAAGTGGAACCTTTTTGCGACGGTTTAAAATCATCGCAAAAACTTGTTTTTTGCGACGGCAAATAAAGTCGTGACAAAATTAATTTTTTTTGCTACAAAAAATCCACAACTGTTGTAAAAAGTAAGATTATATGTGACAATTATTTAATTGTCGCAAAAAAAGTTTTTCAATATTTTTCCTTTTTTTTTATGCAACAATCTTTATTAATGGTTGCAAAATATTTTATTTTTGCTCATTCATTCGTGACGGTCCTTAACACCGTGACAAATCCTGGTCCCTAAATTCGTGCCCACTTTCTACCTCCACACGAGTCTAGCTCCTCTGCTATGTTTATCTCTGGCACTCTCTGCAGTACCTCCAAAACGACGACGCTTTAAACAAAATGGCGTCGTTTTGACTTTTTTTATATTTTTTATTTTGTGTACTTTTTTTTTCATTTCCCCTTCTTTTGTTCCCTCACATCTCAAATGTTTGAGAGACCAGAACCCAACCACCTTACAAATAGAGAGACGAAGAGGAGATATATGATCGGACGACGCGGCAGCGGCAGAGGCAGCGGCGAAGCAAGGTGTTCTGTTCCATTCTTGCCTCTGTTTTTTCTTTGTTTAGCAGATGATCGGACTCCCCCCACACCCTGTCGCTCCCTCTTTCCCGCTTTTCCCAAACTTTCTGTATTCTCTTTAGGATAAAAAAAAACCTTCAATCTTCTGCCCTAATCTCACTCTCTCTTTCTCGCCCTGTCGATCATCACTCTCTCTCTCTCGCGGTGGCAACAACACCAGGTAACCCTCCTCTCCTCTTCTTTCCTCTCGTTCGTGCATCACAATCTGTCTTTGTTAAATGTGTTATTTCAGTTGTGGTTTTGGCAATTGGATGCGAATCGAAGCCCTCGGTGTCTAAATCTTCTGGGCTCTGTGAATTTGTTTTCAGTCGGGATGGTTTAGAGTTAGGAAGAGATCCAATTTCATCGATCGAAGTTCAACCGAGTTGAGAAAACTCTCCCTCTCGCTTTGCAGAACAGCTCCAAAACCCAGACGAAACTCGTTTCCGATTTCTTACTGAAAATAAAGACATGTTTTGATATTATTCGGTCATCAGGAATGGATGTTGAAGTTGTTGAAGTTGATGGGGGTAAGAGAGAAAACAATGGGAGAGCAAATATTTCAACTAATACGGGTGAAAAACTGGGAAGAGCTGGAATCTCTTTTGACAGAGAGGCTCTCAATCAGGACGATGATGAATATACAAAACCATATGTTGGTATGGAGTTCGAATCTGAAGAAGCTGCCAAGACATTATACGATACATATGCCAGGCATGTGGGTTTTAGCACCAATGTTGGTCAGTACAGCCGTAACAAGCTTGATGGGCCAATCATTACTTGGGATTTTGCATGTTCCAGAGAGATTTTTAAAAGGAAGAATGTTGAAAGCTGCAATGCTATGCTTAGGATAGAGAGAAAGGATCAAGACAGTTGGGTTGTGACAAAATTTGTGGAGGATCATAACCATTCTACAAGTATTAGCAAGGTTCATTACCTTTGACCTCGGAGGCATTTTGCTGGGGCTACAAAGAATGTGGTTGAAACATTTGAGGCCCCAAGTGATGTTTTTGTCTCCATGGATGGAAATCATGTGTCTTATGATCCTAACCGTGGACTAAGGGGTGCCTCCCCTGTAGACACAAATTGCCCAGCTAGGAGTTTTGGCCCTGTAAATTATGGTCAACCCTGTATCAAAAAGAGAACCCTTGGGAAAGTCGCCCAGAATCTCCTCAACTATTTCAAGAAGATGCAGGCTGAAAATCCTGGTTTCTATTATGCAATACAACTTGATGATGACAATCGCATGACTAATGTTTTTCGCATGACTGATGTTTCTTGGGCTGATGCAAGATCAAGGACGGCTTATAGTCACTTCGGTGATGCTGTTATTTTTGACACGATGTATAGACCAAATCAGTCTCTGGTTCCCTTTGCTCCTTTCACTGGTGTAAATAATCATGGTTAGATGGTTTTGTTTGGTTGTGCGTTACTTTTGGATGAGTCAGAGTCTTCCTTCATTTGGCTATTTAGGACATGGCTGTCTGCAATGAATGATCGTCCCCCCGTTTCTATAACCACTGATCAAGATAGAGCCATTCAGGCTTCAGTTACTCGGGTGTTTCCAGAAACACGCCACTGCATTTGCAAGTGGCACATCTTGAGAGAAGGCCAAGAAAGGTTGGCTCATGTATATATCTTGCTCACCCTTCTTTCTATGGGGAGTTGTATAGCTGCATAAACTTTTCTGAGACAACTGAAATAACACATTTAACAGTCTCTTGCTCTCGTTACCCTCACAAATTGTCTGTAGCAGTAGCGGCTTTGACTTCCTCACCGGTTCTCCCTCTGGCATCCAGATATAGCTTTCCTCTACTCTCATTTGGTCTCTTCGCCTGTCTTCTCCTCTGCTCTCCTCATTGGTTCAATTGATTGAATAATTTTGATTAAGAATATATTTAATTGATGTATTGTGTAGTTGATGTTTAGCATAATCTGTTTGTTTTCTAGTAGTGTATCTTTTATGTTCTTCAATTTCTGTTAAAGAAGATAATTTTAAGAAAATTTAATCAAATCCCATGGGATTTATATGTACTTATCACTTGAAAAACTCACTGGGGTAAGGAATCAATTAATTCAATTCCATGCCAAACTTGCTCAAGTTTGATTTTGAGAGAGAGAGGACACAATTCTTTTCTAGATAAAGAATAATATAAGAAGTTATTAAAGCTAAAGATTTCTTTTCAAGCTCTAAAATTACACATTCGATCTCGTGGAAAGAATAATTAATGATAAAACACTTTTCATTGTTAATGAGACTATATTTATATGGTTACTTTTGTCGTCAAGAAGCCTCTCTTGAGAGTTGGGGAATTTGAAATTTGACAACAAAAAAATAAATGCTCTCATGAGACCTATGAACCAACTTTTGTACAAAGTTCAAGTTCTGTCAGAAGAAATTTGTTTTATTGTTGATCTATGACTTTTGATATATCAAAAATAAATTAAATTGTTACAAGGGTTAAGGCACATGTGAATTGAATGATTATTCTGTATTTTGGAAATATTATACTAGTTGTGTGTTGCACTTGTTGTAGGCAAATTGATACTTATATGATTTGAAAATAAAGAAAATTGATCAACAAACCACAAAATTTCATCAAACGGACACAGTGGCATATAATGCATCAGATTTATGTGATAATTTCTTATAACACTTATGCATGCATCTCTTAATATCAGCGAGTTGTTTATATTATTTGATTTCAGCTAGTTTCATTTCAAATATCAAAGATACATATGACACACGATTTAATCTTGATTTGATTTGGCACATGTCTTTAAGTTCCTTCCTTCCTTCCTTACGTTTTTAGATGCAGATGTTATAACCCCCTCCTCTGACATGTCACCTTAGCTCCATTAAAATGATGGGATTGCTGCTTACGATTTGGAGCTCTCGAACCTCTATATCAAACAAATTACCGAAAGGTTGTAAAATTGGGGTGGGGGACCTCTTTTTGTTAAAAAGAAACTTCAAAAAAACATAGAAAAGAAAACATATATAGTATATATATATGGGGACTCATTAAAATATTCATCCCCAACTCCCTAGCGCCATCACTGCTACCCCTCATTTTCCCCTCTCTCTCTCTCTCTCTCTCTCTCTCTCTATCTCTCTCTCTCTCTCTCATTTTTTTTTCTTAAAGTTGTTTTTGTGATTCTTAGCTAAATTTAATTTCTCGAAAGGTTGATCCATTGAGAACTATCTTTTTTAAGGATCACACACTGTCAAGTTAATTAGATTCATTTTTTTTTTTTTTTAATATCCATTACCCTTGAGTAATAGAAATGCAATGATACCTGTTTTTCTCTCTCTCAATGAACATTACAATGACAATCATACATGCCAATCTCCTACTATGCTACAAATATATAAATACAAATATTTTTTTTTTTTTTTTTTTTTTTATAATTATTATTGTGTCTATGTTCGACACTATCATTTTTTTTATTGCTGATTTTGGATTGTTTTTTCTCTCATGTATAGCTTCTCTGTGTATAGAAAGGTTGAATCATGCTATATAATGTGTCTGCAAGGTGCTCAACAAAATGTCACAATGGCATTGCAAAGATGAGATTTGTCATCTCAGTTCTGTTATTTCTTGTGTTCATTTCATGTGGAGGTAAAAACACCTTTTGGGTACTTTTTCAAAAGCTTCAGTTTTGATTTGTATTTATGTTTTTGCTTGATTCTGTTTTTCTCGTTTTCAAAAATTGTAGTTGCGTATGATCCATTGGATCTGAATGGGAACATAACAATCAGATGGGATGTAATGTCTTGGATAACAATCTCATAAATTTGTTCTCATGTTTGAAATTACATTCTAAGTGTTTTATTTTTATTTTTTTCTCTTTCTCTCTCTTATGTTTAAGAAGTTAATCAGATGTAATTTACACTGACGGTTCCTAAAATATGCGATTGTTTATACTTTAGTCCCACATCTTTTAATTATTCCACTTTGATCTCCAAAATATATGACCTAGACACTGTAGATTTGCTTGAGCAATTACCTACTTTTCAAGAGCTTCTTTTTCGCCTTCTTGCTTGCCACGTGACATAGTGATCCATTATGCTAGTCGTCATGGTTTTGTCCTTTTCCAGTACGTATACAGTGATTATCATTTTAGTTCTTTAATCATATAATTTCTACTATTTTTTAGGAGATGTTGACCATGTGCATTTGTGCAGCTAGAGGGAGTAGCTCGAAATAATTTATTAATTCAATATGTGCTTGCAATCGTAAGGAATTACTGAAAGCTTTATCCCATGCACACCAGTTACTTGGTTTTGTTTGTCTTTGCTTCCTCTTAGCTTCTTCCTGCTTTAGGTTGCAGCTGAAAATATAAAGCTCTATGTAGCTATTACTGATGGAACTCTCAATTTGGTTGACAAGGTAGGCCTTTGATCATCTAGTGGTGCAGTCAGATTGTTGCTTGTGCTCTTGTGAAAGTAAGCATTGACTTGTATTGTGTTTCAGTTTTTTGAGATGCAACACCATGCTGTTAGGGCACACTTGAAATTTATAGTAAGGCAAGGAATCAGGTATACATTGTGTGATTCTCTGCACGCCCGTACACGTGCACACATGAGCACATGCTTCCATCGAACATCTTCATGTTTACACTCTACTTTTATTGTCTGATCTTTACATTCTAGCTTCCTCTGTAGTTCTTCCGTACAATCTTTATCAGTTGTGGAATATATTTGTATGTTATTAATAAAGAACTAGTTACCATTTTTTTTTGTCATCCACACATATTAATGACTTGAGCTTGAGCACATGTGAATCATCCACATCTCAATGCTTCAAATTTTTGTTTGATATCATGTTTCATAATATGTTGCCTTTATTTTCTCTAGTCGAACTGTGAAGTACTTCTCTAATATGAGAAAAAATTTGGCTACCGAAGTTTATGGTTGGGCCATCTCATTGAAAGCAATGATGAGCATTGTGGTGCTTATAGGGCTTACAATCTGTTTTATTTATTGGTGGGTGAATAATTATGCACCCCTTCCAGCTCGAAATAAGAAGGTAAATCCTCTTCAAGAATCCTCTCTTTAAGTATTATATTTCAGCAATTGTGATCCTTTAGCCATCACTAGTCTGTTTTCTGCTGCAAAAAATCTGGTCATAAAACTATTCTGTTTACCAAATTGTTTCGGCGGGTAGGAATGTTGTGAACTCTGGGTTTTGTTCATTTTGCTCCTTAATGGTGCTGACACTTCTTGTTGCAGATGGCCAATTTGGAATGGGTTTTATTGGAGAGACTAATAGATCACTTGCAGCCAAATGGAAGAAAAACCAGAAGGTGGGTGGTAGTAGCTTGTTGCACACAAATATGAAAGCTCTTTTTAATTAAATGTGTCTGAAAAAGAATGTGTGTACCGCCCCGAAATATACACAATATATCCATCCCGTAACGACCAATAAATAGCAACATAAATGAATTTGTAAGCTTTCATTAATCAGAGTTTGATATACGAAAGGTGACACATGCGATATACATTCATAAACATTACATTCTGAATTTTCAATGTGTTACAAGATAGTGAAAAGAAATGAAAGCTAAATAGATAATCATATGCCCTAAAGGCTTACTTATTTCCAAGTCAATGATTGGGTACTTCAAAAGTGATTCTTAAGCTCAATACAGATAAAGCCTTAGGCTTGTATAAAATTAAATACAAAATACGACACAGAGCCTTCACCTCTATAGTCCTTCCAAGCTAAGTCCTTGGTAGAGGCATATCACTAGCACATGAAAATGGTTTTTCCATATAGGGTGAGTAAAAATTCAGTAGAAATGTTACAACACAATGTATAAATCTTAACAAAGCTATAAGGTTTTATGCATATGTAATGTCAGTGTCAAAACATTTATATCATTTTTCAAAAGTTGTGCTATATTAGGTTCATATCATAATTCTCAAACTCATGCCTTTTACAATAGAAAAACCGGGGAGGAGGGGGGGAGGATGGAGAAATCTCAAACCAGTACAATATTTCACGGATATTTTGTCCGTGGAAAGCCGTCAAATGGCACTCATGTAAACGTAGTTTATACAAGCACTATTATTGTTATTTTATAGATATTTTGCCCGCGGGGATCGGAACCTATGTATATGCGCGTTTTTTGGGACTTTCATCCTGGATACCAGGCCAATTTGATTTGGTGATATACATCTCTTTCCCACGTTCACCTATTTTTCTCAAAATTATATAAATTTTCATTGTATTAAATGAGCAACAATTTTCAATGCACATGGATGATAAATTAGTTTTAATTCACTTAATTTTCATGTAATTTTTATAACACTCAGAAGCTCAAAATAAATATTTCTAAATAGATAAATTTCATTAAAGATACAGTTTTCCAAAACCTTAAGATGGGAGTGATAATACATATCATACTCCGCTATTATCATCAACATTATTTCATGTGCATAATTCTCAACATCAATTCCATTCTCTTTGCAATCTCAAACATTCACATTTTAAGGCAAAATCTCTTTTTCTTTGAAAATCAATTTCAATTCAACAAAATTTATAAAGGGTAGTAGGACGAAGGTGAAAGTGAAGGTGAAGGTGAAGGTGAAGGTGGAGGAAGAGGTGGTGGTGTGGCAGTGACAATGATGGTGGTGTGGTGGTGAAGATGAGAGTCACGGTGGTATGGTGACATTGATAAGACTTTAATTCAAAAAATATTTTTCACATTTTAAGAGTAAAAAAATACTTTTTGCCTAAATAAGTTTGTTTCCGTTTTAGTTTCTGTTGACTTTTATTTTTTAATATACCAAATGCAAAAATTATGAAAAACGTTTTTTTACCCAAACAAACGGAGTGTTAAAATTACAAAATTAAGGTTCTTTGAATTAAAGGTATGCACATATCAATACCTAATGCATGTAAAACCTATAGAATACCTATATTTATATAACAAAAGACAGCACTTAAATACATTATTATATCCTCGAAACAAATTTATTGTCAATTGTAATATGTTTTTCATATTATTTTTACTCCCCATTTAGGTTTTAATATTTAATGAGTTAATTATCTAAAAGTTTTATTTACAAATATTATAGTGCTTTAGGTCATATTTAAGATTTTTTGAACCAATAAATCATTTTTAGTAAAATTGAAAATGTTATCAGTTTTTTAAAATTTTTAAAACTAAGAACATTATCAATTTTGCATAGTAATGTTTTAGATAATTATTTCACCAACTGATAAAAAAAAAGAGTAAGAGATTAAACGTTTTGTCTTTTTACTTATTGATTTGATTCAACTATTCAATAAAATTGAGAATCTTAATAGTTTTTTTTTTAAAAAAAAAAATTTAAAACTGAGAACATTATTAGTTTTTTTATTTTTAAATTATTTTATTTTATTTTATTTTTTCAGTTTTTCACATCATCATACTCCTTCATAAATACAAACTTTTCAGTTTTGCACAAAAAAATAAATCAATTTTTTCAAAAAAAAAAAAGCATTCAGTGTGTTTGGTTTAAGTTTTTCTAGATTAAGTTTTTTGAAAATTGAGTTTTTTAATTTTTGTGTTTTTTTTTAGTGAATATTTTTAAAATTTTAAACATTTTTTAGATCCACCTTACTTAGATGTATCTAAAAAGTAAAAAATTTATGAAAAAATATTTTAAAAAATTAAAAAATACATAAAAATACAAAAAATATATTGAATTCTTGTATTTTTTTTATTTTTTTTTGTATTTTTGGTATTTAGTGAATTTTTAAAAGATTTTTTTTTTATAATTTTTTTACTTTTTAGGTGTATTTATGTTAGGTGTGTTTAAAAAATAACAAAATTTCTTAAAATATTAAAAAAATTCAGTAAAAACAAAAAAACAAGAAAAATAAGAAAGTAGAATTTTCTAAAAAGTATTTTTGGAAAAATGAAACTAAGCATTTTTTTTTTTGCACATAATTATTATTATTATTATTATTATTATTATTATTATTATTATTATTATTATTATTTTAGTTTTTTCAATTTGAAAATTGATGTTTTATAGTTTTGAAAGTCAAAATAAATGTCAAATCATCATGTTCCTTTATGTATAATCATAAATGATGAACAATCATTGTTTGAAAGATAATTTCGATTATTAAAAATTTAATGGGACTTAAAGGTTCAAAAAATTTTAGTTAGGATTTAATGAAATATAAGTTCATAAATAAGAATTTGTGTGTAAATGCTCCATATTTAATTTTTGGGCGACGCATCAATAAATCCCAAATCTTTATCTTATGATCCATTTAGTTCTATCTTTTATCTTATGATCCAATTAGTCTGTAATGTTAATGACAACTAAACCCGTGTTACACTAATTTTTACGCGTTTTAGTAAGGGTAATTAAGTAAACCCCCAACGGCGTAATGACTAGAATGCCCTAAACCTGTCCTCTGTAGAAATTTGTTTCCCTCCAAACAAACCCGTAATCGAAGAGTCGTGTATGGAAGGTTGAACAGTTCTCCGATGTTAATGGCGGGATGTTAGGCATTGCAGTTGCAGATTGTTACTTGACGATGTGAAATCCATGTGGACTGGGACAATAGAATAGCCTTTTGTGTTTTACCCCAATCCCTATCAAATACGCAACCCCCTTCGCTCTTGATACATCAAAACCGGCGGTGTAGGTGCTTGTGACGCTGTTGTGCTTCGAAGCAGCGACCGGAAAGTCTTCATAGTCCGCCGACAATGGTTCTAGGTACGGTAATCGTCTGTGTACATAAACCCTTGCTTTCATTTACATTACGAAGTTGTGGAGTTATGTGTGAAATACTATGCGAAGTGCTTAATGTTGTGGGTTTTGTGAAATACATGAAATTGTGATATCTGTACACTGAAGTAGTGTTGTTTTTTTTGTGCGATTTTGAGAAATGCATGCTACTTCCCAGAGGGTAGTGTGTCAATGTTCTTGGCCTGTTAAGAGGTGTGTTTTTGTGATTTTGTTGTAATATTACTGCGGTGAATGTGAATGTGATGGTAATGCAATTTTATTATCAAGTGTGTACTGGGTTTTTCTGAATTTTGGGGGGGAGGGGAGGGGGGGTTGAGGGGAAGATGGTTTACCTATTTGCTTGGTGGTGTATACTATCATGTACCTGTGGGGGTGTGCGTACAGTGTTTTTGGGCTTTTTACATTGAAGAAAATTGTAATGGTGTTCAAGATTCGGGTCAGTGATGTATTCGCATATTTCAGATGGGGCCCCATTGTTTTTGTTTATGTTTTGTTGTCGTTTGCTTAGTCGTAATGATGTTATGTAGCGTGTTGGACAATATGAAGGTCATATTGCAATGGTGACACATTTGTATTGTTCTTCAATGCGTTAACATAATCTACGTAGCGTCACTTTAATTGTTGTATGTTATTGCTGAAATGCGTAATTACGGTTCGTTGCATTTGTATATAATGTAGTACAAAACAGTGAAATTAGTTAGTTGGGAAGTGATAGTGGTTAGTGATGCATGCAATACATACTCGTTGTCTATTGCGTAATGAGATCGAAAATAGAGTTTGGCTGTGTGATGTTACTGTTTGTGTTCAGATTTTACATTGATGGCATGACATGGGGCATAAAAGTTTGTGTTCTTTTGGAAAATTGCCTGATGCTGGAACATGTGGCGGTGTAAAAGATTCAGTTTTTCATGGTTATACCTCATGACATTTTATGTTTTGTGTTGGCAGTTTTAATTTGTTTCTGCTGCTTTGCATGTGAAACATGTTCAGGTAGCGGTGGCAGTAGGACTAGCAAATGAAAATTTGGCATGAGGTTACCACAAACATCGACAAGGGAGGCCAGTAAAAGACAAGCAAAGCTCCCATTCAAGAAACAGAAAGGGCCGGGTGATCCTATTCGGAGAGCTGATGTTGATCCATCAAAATTAATGCACCGGTCAAACATGTCCGGGCTGATTAGCACAGTTATGGAACTGGAATTACGCGATGGCCACATCAGGCAGTTACAGAAAACGCCATTCTGGTTGATGATTGATGCTATTCGGGATAACAAGCTGGATCCTAAAATGTTCAAAAAGTGTGATGCAACGGTATGTCGGATAATACAAACTTGGCCGGGTGATCCTGTTCGGAGAGCTGATGTTGATCCATCAAAATTAATGTACCGGTCAAACATATCCGGGCTGATTAGCACAGTTATGGAACTGGAATTACGCGATGGCCACATCAGGCAGTTACAGAAAACGCCATTCTGGTTGATGATTGATGCTATTCGGGATAACAAGCTGGATCCTAAAATGTTCAAAAAGTGTGATGCAACGGTATGTCGGATAATACAAACTTACAAACCTGAAGATGAGAAATTCCACATTGGTGGAGCTAAGTTACCATTGTGCAACAACGACATCAGGTTGATATTCGGCGTACAATGTGGGAAGGAGAAGTTGGATATGACACAGGGTGGGAAAGGGCCGTTCGATTTCATGCAAAGACGTTGCGCAAATGTTAGCCGAATTTCTTCAAAAGTTATAAAGGACTTGCCGGGAGAAGCAATCTCTGGTCGTACAGAGCGTGACGAAGAAGATGTGGAAAAATTGCTGTGTCTTTATGTTTGTGCCAAGTTGTTTTTCGCAACGATCGGCGAGCATATAGGTTGGGCATTTGTCCGTGTGGTCGACAAACTGGACACATTGCAACACTATGACTGGAGTGCAACAATAAGGAACACATTGATTAGGTCACTAAATGAGATGCACAATAGGCCAGAGAAGGTCACTGGTTGCGTAGTAGCATTGCTAGTACGTATGTTTATTGGTTGTTTGGTTGTTCAATTTCAGCTTTAAAACATAAAAACAGATTCGTAAGCCATTTCCGTGTTTATTTAATGGATGTTTGATGGTGTAATTTCAGTTTCTCATTTGTGAGCATTCAAAAATCGTCGCTCCGGAACGACCTGACATGACACCACGATTTTGTCAATGGAACATTGCAGCCGCTGTGGGAAACTAAGAGTAATAAATTTGTTGTCAGAAGGTTGCTTTGTGGTATGGAATTAGAACCCTTTTAATTGTTTTTCAAAATTTTCCAACACAAAACATTGAAGTTCTGTTGTGTTTTGTTTGTAATTTTCCTTAGGTCCAGTGTGGCAAACTTGTTGGGACGATTAATGAATGTCATATTCTCAAGGTGCTTGCTACTGCGATTGAACCAAAAGAATGTGGTAGAATTAGGATAGATGTGGAACCACATGGAGTGTGCGATGAACGTAGGGCTGTGATTGAGACAGATGATGTTGGCAACGTGGAGCCAAGCTTCAATTGTTGGCAACCGGCCACAAAAAATAAGGGTGACATGAAAATAGAGGGGGGGAATGACTATGATAATAAGAATACTGGAACACCGACCAGCAAGGAAAAAGTAGCTGGGAAGCTGGCGTCACGTGGAGAAGTTTTGCCGGTATTGTTCCTAGATCTTCTAGAACTGTCTAGCACTCCAGATGGTGAAGACGTGGGTGAGGAACAAGGGGGGTGCACGATGAGCTGATAACTTGTAAAGTCAGAATTACTGAATTAGAGAGTGAGATCAATATGAAAGACGTACGGATATGTGAACTAGAACAGCGTGTGGAAACACTGGAGAAACTGCTCGGGCGGCACGCTGGGAATTTGTTTGCAGACTTAAATACTGTGATTGTCGATAAGGATTCTGAAATTGCTAGACTCAGCAAGCAAGTTGATCGATTGGAGACAAAAATAAGCAATTTGGAAGATAGTCTTGATGACCTTGAGGTGCACGAGGTCACACAATTTGCTGTGAATGATGGATCCAATCAGCGAACACCGAGTAATAGTCTGCCAGGGAAAGTGAGTGGGTCTGCCAATGTGACGAGTTACGAAAGTGCACAGCAGTCTGCGTGTCCTGCAGGCCAACCCGAAGACGTGCAGATCAACGAATTAGAACTTGTTGTCAATGAAACTGGGATTGAAGATTTGACAGATGATTTCGCAGATGGGATTGTACATACAACTGTAGAAAGGGTTGAGGGTAGCTGCAGTCCCCTAAATGCACAGATAGTAGCTGGTGGCAATGTAAAAGATGGCGTAGCTGTCGTTTGTGTAGAAGGTCATTGTGAACACACAGCAGCTACAACAAGTTCTGGGCCGAAAATTACGTCACTTGTGAAAAGGGTGAAGAACAAGGCAAGACGGGAATTTAGGTTATCATACTACGAATATCCCGGCATATTTGGGCGTTCACAGGTAAACACCAATGTCAGACTTGGTAAATCATTTGAGCCCGGGGTGATATACAGTGTTGAGGACGTTGAGGTGCAACGTAAAACCTAGAATGGCTTCGGTTTGAATAGGCGGCACACTGTGTGGAACATGCTGAAGGATGAAGACAGGGAACTACTACAAAGAATGTACACTTTAGAGGGGGACGGGTAGGTTCGGATGGAATGTTGTATTCTTTGACATGTACAACTTGTAAAACTATGTTCTATGGTGGTTCTTAATTTTGGTTTACGGTGTGCAAGTTAATAGTATGGGATGGTGGACACAATGGAATACAAGTTCATTTCACGGACATCAAAGATTGGGTGCAGTGGAACTCCATACACGGCAATGTAAGCTGGTTTCGTGTAACGAATCGTAGAGTATTTTTTGATTCTTTAATTATTTTTAACAAAACATATGCAAATCTGACCATTGTTTCCTTTGTGAATTGAGTGATGTGGCTGTCACAAAGGGCAAATGAATTTAAAAACACACTCAAGAAAATGTAAATGGAAATGTAAATTTACAAAGTTCTTATTACTATTGTGCTGGAATTGTAATGGGTAACATATGTTACAGGTAATCGATGCATACGCTGCAATGTTGACTGAAATGCATAAGATGGTATCTGGAAGGGCAGAATATGTTGGGACATCGTACATTTACACTAGTGTTTGTTCAGTATGTATCTTCACCTTTGTTTGATTGCCCGAAATCTAAAAATAATATTTGCATAATGAAACCTGATACGACTGCAGCGGTTTTGGACAATTGTGCAGGATATGATGCGAAACAGCAGTGCTGTTTCCTGAGCGAAGTATTTGAATGTTCACATGAAGGCTGCACGAGGTTGTAGATACGCATTTTTCCCAATCTACAATGCCAACCATTGGACGGTCATGGCGCACAATTCAGAAAGCGGGAATTTGAAACATTACAACTCGATGTGGCCAAGATGTTGAGTGCGCGATGAGCATTACAATGAGGCTCTAAAAGTTGTAAGTGTTGTTTACAAATTTCAGTTTTGAATGTGCATGATGGGCAGATTACTATTTACAAAAGGTTAATGTTATTGTGGACAAAACTGCACTGACATGTGGAAAATGGATAGAAACAATAGGTGGCTGACCATCACAACAAATTTGTGAAGCCTCGAGTTATAGCTGCAGGTGTTGGGGCAGACCTGTTTGATGGCAGTTTTGTATCTGTTGTGGATTGTCCACAACAAGTTCTAGAGTCATAAGTAATGTTCATTTTATTTTGAGTATACTGTTTTGATGATGTATCGCGTAAGTGACGTTGACACCGGTATTTGTGAGTGCAGGTTAGATTGTGGGATTTTCGTGTGCTTCATAATCAGGCAGTACATTCGTGGTGCAGAAGTGAATACTATGATGGACGGTCTGACCCCAACTGGGCTACGAGCTGCAATGGTGGACATGTTCTTAAGTGACCCGGGCAGAGGACTTCGTGGGAGGACATTATAAGAGGTTGAGAAGACATTTGCCAGTGCAGAAGGTGCAACAATAGCATTAGGATGTTTTAGTTTGTTGATGTTTTATCAACGTATATAATATTTTGTTACTCTGATAACACATAACAGTAGGAGGGAAAAACTAGTTTCATATACATTACTTTTTTGGTCATGCAGAAGTGCCCAACGGTTTAATCTTGGGTTAGGATCCAGTACTTTTTGGATATGAATGTTGATATTATTTAGTAATTTATTCAAATAGTTTCACCTATTGCATAATAACAGCTTAATGGTGCATTACATTTTCATGTGCATGTGGAGTAGATTATTTTTAAATGGCAGATGGACCTGGGTATGTAAACATGGTGTGATCTATGCAGAAGTTGCACATGATGACACTCAGTTTGGGGAACCTGTTTTACACCATGGGAGTATGGGTGGCTTGATGTATATGGAAGTTGACATGCAAAGACAGAGCACGTCGACCACGTGCTTAATATGACATGAGACAAGATTAATTTCACTTTGCCATCTTAATTAGAATTGTGATGACACCATGTTGAGCGTAACATAAAATTACCTTCGCATTCAATTTATTTTAACACAGTTGGTATTGGGTACATGTTTTGTGCAATGACAGCAGATTGTAAGCAGCCACCCAAACATTAAAAATCCATTGCCGTTCCGGCTACGGGTTGGCAGAGTCCGCTTTGGGCGAATGTTCTGGTATGATGTGAACAGATTTGTAAACTAAAACGGCACCAATTCCTCTTTTCATGTCTTCACAGTGTTAATCAAAGCCAGATTTGAAAATAAAATGGTTGTGTTTCAAAGGAGCAGCGTTAGTGTTCAATAGTGGGGACCGAAAATATATGTCCTACCAAACAGATTAAACCAATAACATAAAGTGGATGACTGGTTTCCAAATCTGTTATGATGTCCACAGATTTGAAACAAAAAACGACACCCATTTGCTCTTTTTATGTGTAGACAGTGTTAATCAAAACAGATTTGGAAAATAAAACCCATTGGCTATTTTCATGTCTTCACAGTGTTAAGCAAAACAGATGTGAAACTAAAATGGTTAGGTGTTAAAGGTGGTGTGTAATTGTTCAACAATGGGAACTGAAATGGTTGCTGGGTTACATAAAAATGTATATCCTACAAAATAGATTAAACCAATAACAGAAAGTGAATGACTGATTGAAACAAGGAGGAAAATATTTCGGAAAACAAAATAAAACAGAATCCCAGTTTGTTAACAACAAAATTAAATCATATGGCAGACCACCTATAATGGCTCTTTGCATGTCTTCCTATTGTGATTGCCCACTTTTCCGCAACGACCACAACGTATACGTTGCACTACCTCCCCCTTGGACGGAATTCTCTTCCGTTTGGGCCGACCAAGAGGACGCTTGCCATCGGCAGAGCTATCAAACATTCAGCTAGGTTAAACAGTGGCCTCCCCACTGTTGGTATGTGGTATATGGTTCCGCTATAAGTAGCTCGAAATGTATCAATGCAAAATGCGAAGTCTATGGCATCGTAGATGTTTCTCCCACTATTACGGAATGCAACGACAGCATGGGAACCCGTTGATCTGCCACTGAAAACAAGAACATGTCTGCTTGCCGACATCAACCAACACCGATGGGTGGGAGTGGACCTCATAGACATCATCATTAGCCTGGCTCACACACCATGCCTTGCTGTCGTTATACGCTGCCACCAATCTTTTCTCCATTTTCGGGGATATCACACCGGCCCATTTACCGCATTTAACTCTGCGCTCCGACATCTGCTCCATTATTTGACCCCTTATCATATCGACCAATCTCGTGATAGGGAGATGACGGGCCTTACCAACCCAATTGTTGAAAGATTCAACAGCATTTGAACACATCTCCCCATATCGTTGGTCCCTTAAAAAAAAATCCCCATTTACGGAGCATAAATTAAAAAGACAAAAATAAAACATACTGCAAAAAAATATGTGGGAATTTTTAAATATGCCATAACCCATTGCGCAGGTCGTGAATTACCTGAAATACGCATTAGACCAGTGTTTGGGGTGTAGGTCTGTCATAAAATCTTCAATCACAGCTGGGTTGGCCTTCTTCAATACCTCCAATTTCTCATTGAAACAAGTAACAGTGGGTGCATATGCACATTCCCGCAACTTCCGCATCAACCCAATTTTGTGTGGTGCATTAACATATTTCATTCGATCCCGCAAGTTCATTTGGAAATGCAACAAACAATATGCATGATGCGCTGAAGGGAAAATAATGGGCATAGAGTGTAATAATCCGACGTGGCGATCAGATATGAAAGTTATTGTTCGCCCACCCCCAACAACTTCTTTCAAATTACGAAGAAACCATTCCCAATTGGCTGAATTCTCGGAATCAACAATAGTAAAGGCTACCGGAAACAATCCTAAGACCAAACATGCAACATAAAAAGTTACGCATGACAAAAGTTATACAACCATCCACGCAAAATAAAGTGCGACACATTTTACAAAATAAAAAAGAATAAGCCTGCCACTGTGTCTTACATTCCTATTCAGTTTTATTTGAGGAGACCCTATTTCAATGTTCTCAATTTTTTTCCTTCGTTAAATGGAAAAAAACATTTGTAATGTATAAAAAATGGAAGTATCTATTTACTAGTATGTTCAGCAAATAAGCACTAATGGAATAAAATAACACACCATTACCTTGATTGGCGTCTTTAGCAGTAGCTGCGAGCAAATTACCTTTAAATCTACCTTTCAAAAACGTTCCATCCAAAAATAGCATAGGACGGCGGTGATTGAACCCATCTATACAAGCGTGAAATGATATGAAATACCTAACGAAGCTCCCGATTTTTTGGTCAAACTCAAGGTTAATGTAACTGTTTGGGTTTTTTTGCATAACAGAATTGCTATACCACCTCAGCTGATCGAAGGACATAGCGTGATCCCCGTACACCTCGCCCCTAGCTTTCTCAACACCCAACCATGCCACCCGGTAGCTAATGTCCAGACCATACTCGTTCTTCAAATCAAACACAACATCAGTGGGGCGCGTCAATGGCATATCGCGCACCCGATCTGCAACAACGGTAGACACCAAATCAGACGCTGTACGAGGGTTCCTAGAAGTATGTACAGCAGCCCCATAAGTATGCACACTATCAAACCTCTTAACACATAACACCCCACTTGACAGTAACATCCTCGCATGAACTGACCGCGGACAATCTGTTGAAGCTGCAAACTTACACACTACCGTAATTCGCACGGAGTCATTTTTAATGTACTTAAATTGAAATCCACGTTCAACAGCATACTTACACAGAACTTCACGGAATTCAGTTGCTCCACCATCAAAACATTGTCCCACATGGGTAATACCATGCGCCCATTACGCCGACAAAAACGTCTTTGATTTGTTCGGACAGTACGTTGGTAACAAATCCATCTGTTCATCCACGCACCCATTCCCGCTAACATGCCGTGATATTCCCCCATCGTCTGCGGAATCCAACACGACACGATTACCCCCCACACCAACACTACTTCCCTGAATGAGGACCTCAATGTGATTTATCCCGAACGACTTAGCAAGGCACAACATGTTTTGAATGTCGTCGTCGCTATCCACCTTAAACTTCTTATACCTGGGAAAATCAAAAAACAAACACACCGCACCTGGTACCAATCCATCGAACTTTCCACAAATTTCATCAACAATCTTTACATACGACGAATCCTAATGCAACCGAATAAGAACATTAGCTAAACCATACGAACACACCAGCAAAATTCCCCCTTCCATACCTGCACACATTTTGGAGAACCCATTACTGTTGCAACATACCCATGAAACAACCATAACAGAACAGTATGTGTGCATTTGTTGGATTAAACACAGCAGTGCAGGAAAATACAAAAATGTCCTAACGACCCATCGCAGCCATTGATATAACCAGCGCACCCATCCGATAGACAGATCAGAGAAAACTAAAAAAATTCTGGAAAAAACGACAAACCTTTTCCCGGGGGCTTGAACACAGCAGTGCCACCGCAGGAAGCCACCAACTTGAAATGTCCAATTACAGTGCGAAGAACAGTAGTGGTCGCTGGGGAAGATGATGCTGACCACCGGAAAAAGAGTGCTCACCGTATTCTGCCTCCATGAAAACAATGGTGGAATCAATGTAAATGAAGAAAAACAATGGTAATGAAACCGAAATGGTGGACAACAACAATAAAGAATCAGAAAACAATGTCAATCAAATACATAACAATGAAAGAAAATGTTAA